CGCACCAGAACCTCTCGCCATAAGAACAGTTTCTTCCCCTCTGCTGTTGGACACATGAACAATAACCGTATGACTGTCCCCGCCACTAACACATGACCCTACGCTGTGTCACTGCATCATTACATGTTTGGCACTGATCACCACCTGCACTCATGTATATATCTTTCTACGTAGCACTCATAATTCTTATCCCTACTTTTATTTTTTCCATGTCTATTTAAGTGTTATTTATGACACCATGTTTGCACTGAAGCACCGCAGCAATTTCCTAATGTTGTAAACCTGCTCAACATTTGGCAATAAACTGATTCTGATTCTGATTCTGATTCTGACAAGGTGATGAAACAGATGCGTGTCCAAATGGAGTAAATACTGCAGTATAATAAGAATACTCATCCATGGGGCCATCCAAGGATAGTCCTGGCTTCCTACGGGGGTTTGAGACAATGACACGTTGATCTGCTCAGGTTTATGTTTATGTATGAACTCTGACTGAATTACACACAATTTGAGGCAACCAGGTGTTTTACAGCAACCACACTGGGCTCTAACAGACACACTGATTTATCGTTGCTTTTATCACCACTCAGGTCCAACCAAACTACCACGTGTCTGATAACTACCTGCCCAGTTAAAGAAAAACAAACACAATCCACCTGCAACACAGGTGAGGTGAACAAATGGAGGGTGTATTCAGGTCTGGATTGTGGAGGCATTAGTGAAGTGTGTTCAGGCTAAATCAGGACGATGAGTCGCTCTCTAATCAGACGTCGCCCTGTGTTGTTCAGGCTAACCCAGTCTAGCTTTGCCCAGTTTAGTGCAATCTAGAGTCTTTTAGTGTCCAGTCTATTCTCGCCTGGTCAAGTCTAGTTTATCTAATCTGGAGAATAAAAAAGCCTGAGCCAGTCTGCGCTGGCCTACAGATCCCAGTCCAGCGCACTCTGTTCTAAGCAGCCACGCAGTGGTTCGGTCTGCGAGACATGACGTATCCTCTCCTGCAGACGCAGCGGTACGAGCCGTCGGTGTTCACGCAGCGAGCGTTCACGCACGGGTACTCAATCCTGACGCTGTCCTCACACTCATTTACATCTGCAAACACACACACACACAATCAGTAATTCAGTACTGGAAATCTAACATATAAATGTGATTCATCAAGCCCTGGTCACACAGCAAAGGACGACTGCCTGGCAACTGCTGGTTGCTAGGGGGAAATGTGAATCGGGTCTCTGGGCGTCTGTGATTGAGGCTTTAACAGTTTATCTTCTTCTTTGCTGTCTCATAGCGATCTGTGCTCTTCTCTGCAGCCTTACCTATGCAGGTCATAGTGGTCATGTCCAGCTCGTATCCTTGGTAACAGTCGCAGGTGTAACCCTCTGCAACACGAATGCACCTGCCGTTCTCACAGCCGTGCAGGATCCCACAATCCTCAGCTGTGCTCAGGCTGGCGTATGACTCGTAACGCCCTGAGAGATGAGAGAAGGAGAAAGCAGGCTTCACTGTGTTGGTAGTTTCAGCTAGTTCACCTGCTGCTCACCTGGCCTGACCTGGTCCACCTCGACCTTTGGCCTCAGCACTGAAGCAGCGCTTTATGTTCACACGTTTTTATATTTTTCTTTGCATTTTAAATAAAAGTTTTGTTTCTGGACTCACTCTCATACAGCCTCCTCGGTACCCCTCCTCCTCCGCTCCTGTCGGTGAAAGAAGGGAAGGGCGGCCCCGGCCTCCACGCCCTGTCCTCCCCTTCCTCCTCTGTCTCCTCGTAGCGCCCTCCAGGCAGCGGGGCCAGGCTGAGAGGAGGACTGTCGGGCCTGGATGGTGGATGAGGCAGGACTCCAAGCCCAATGTCAGCTCGTGGGTCCGGAGGAATGCGGAAGGGAGGCGGTCTGGACTGAGAGCTGTCAGGAGGCCCGTAGTCTCCCTCGGAGTAGTAACCAGTGCTGTGACACACAAACATCTGTTAACGTAACCTGAGGATTATTAGAACAGCGACAGCCATGAGTTTGGTCTCACCTGTACTCAGGCCTACGATACGTTTCATCTGGCAGGCTCCCTCTGAAGCCTGACCTGCTGCCCTCTGCTGGAGAGTAATCATCATAGTCGGAGCGACCGTAGTCTCTGCCGGGAATCACAGGGAAGTAGTCGAGTCCATAAGGAGGCAGGTTTGGAGAAGCTGAGTTCATGAGGAGGAACGAGAAAGTCAAATTAAACTCGACTTTAGATTAAAACTCAAAATAAAACTGAGAAATGTGAACAGTTTTCTGTACCACTCCCTCGTCTTCGACCTGCTTCCGTTTCAGAGTCCGGATAAGTCGCCGGGAAAAGAGGCGGAGGAGGGAACGAACTGCACATACTGGCATACCCCTCTGTGGAGAGACGAATGCCAGTTAATCTGTTAAATATGCTACAAGGTCATCATACCAACTGATGATATTTAGGATGTTTAAACTACAGCTGTGACCTCTACATTGAAATTCATCTTTGGGCTTCCACAGAGGGTGACAGCAGGAAGGCTTCCCAATTCAAATTCCAGTTTAACAACTTAAAATTCTTCTCCTGTAAATGTCACCACGTCGGGGTAATGGCTTCAAAATCTACAACACTGAATACACACGGCTTTGGAGCTTTTGATGATTTCTGGAGGTATAAAAACAATAAAACCTCTCGACGTCTTCCTAACAGCCTTCCTGAGGAGACACCAGATGTTTTTATAGTTTCCAGTGGTTCTTTTGTTTACCTGTGTCGGGGGCAGGACAGAGGGCGCAGCTGAACCCCCAGCCCTGCCCATACAGACAGCAGCAGTCTGTGAAGGTGATATGTGCTCCCATCAGAACGCTCTGACACACCAGGCCTGTCGTCACGTGCTGCCAGCATATGGACAGGTTCTCATCTGGAGAGCATGAAGAAGTCAACACCAGAGCAGAGAAAGCAAAGCAAAACTGATGGCAGGAAGCTATTCATATAGTTTCTCGACTTTTGTGTGAGTCTGCATGCTGCGTCTGCCTGTCACTGTGCTGCTGGAACACCAGAGTTTCCGTGATGATGGACAATAAAGGATATTTCTATTATTTCTAGGGAGGAGAAGTAGAAGCAGGAAGCTCAGGTTTACCCTGATTGAGGTCGGAGGAGTTGACACAGTTTCGTTGGGTGTCGTCGAGGACCAGAGGAGGCTGACAGCTGCAGTAATACGAACCAACTGTGTTCACACAAATCCCTCCCACACAGCTCTCCTCTTCACACTCATCATGATCTGACACAAACAAGGAGGGAAAAAAATTTTATTGACACAGAAATTCAAATCGGTTTGAGCAAATTAAGCTGCTGAGCTTCGGTTCGGCGTACCAACACACTCCAGCAGCGTGCTGTTGTAAACGTATCCGCTGGAGCAGTAGCAGCTGTATCCCGGGATGTTGTTGACACACACGCCGTTCTTACACACCTCTGGATGGAAACGCTTACACTCATCCACATCTGGCAACAAAGGCACGAAAAAGGACACGTGTCTCAAAGATGTTCTCATTCATGTCCGCTGTACCTCCCTGCAGCGTTGTGACGTACGGATTGTTACTGATCCTGTTTTTTACAGTCCAGACTTTCTGAGTCTGAGGGTTTTAAAAACACTCTTATACCTTCTGGGTTACTAATTCCCAACTTTCTGAAAACACAGCAAATATCTGAAAACATCTGGAAACGGTATCTGTGCCGACCGGACATTCTGCGACCCAGTAACATCATCAGTCAGGAAGTGAAATGCAGTGGGGTCAGGGTTAAAGAGGTCTGTCTGTGTTTGTACCTCTGTAGCTGAAGGCTCCTGGTCCTTCTGTAACATATCCATTCCCACTGGGACACAGAGTTAGAAACTCAGCTGCAACACAGAAAGACTTTATCAGAAAATGAACCAAAGCGCAGCTCTGAAGTCCTGATAGGTTGATAGGTGGCCTGCATTCACTATACACACAAGCTTTCCCACCTGTGTATGCTGTAGGGCAGGGGTGGTACTGGCAGCCCAGCCCCCAGCCCTGCCCCAGTGTGCAGCAGCACTCCTGCTGGGTGGTGTTGGTGGCCAGCAGGCTGCAGGTTCCCCGCTCTGCCAGGTTGTAATAACACTCCCTCAGCTCGCCAGGACGAGCCTGAGGAAGGGGCGGCAGCATCGGAGACAGCTCCACCACACTGGCGTGGAAAGCGGAGGAGGAGGTGGTGGTGGTAGAGGATTGGCGGGCACGGACTATGTCTGTTTCTGAAGAAAAATGAGAATATGAAAGTTAAATTAGCATCTACCAAACAGGTTTGGGTGTTTGGCATGTTTTAGCTTTTGTTCTGCGAGGTCATCTTTGGCGACCATCACCGGTTATTTCAAAATACAGTTTTTCCTGTAGCCAGAAGTGACCCAAGATATCAGCTAATGCTATCAAGCTTGGTTAGCATGCTCCAGGACACAGACCCAAGAATTTCACTGAGCAGAACTAGAGCTCAGACCTCTTTAGTACAATAACCTCACAGTAGCCTTTTTATTGATCCAATAATTGCATTAAAAAAGCTCAAACAGCGCAAACACAGAGGAGAGGTTTAGTTCAGGCATGCTAGCTAGCTGAGGTGAAGCCTAGCAGACAGCTAGCAGCTACAGCTGCCTGTGTGACCATCCACCTGTCAGTCAAACAAGGCCAACTTTAAGCCTTAATAAAATTAGTCAGCTCAGTTCTAAAAATCATTCCCCTCTCATACTGTTGTTAAGAAGGGGTAACTTTTGTTAATTTCTGTTTTAAAGCTGGATGCTTTAACAAGGAGACTGACTCACTACAACCTCAAGTGGTTATTAGAGGAATTGCAGCTTTTGTTGGCAGTTGGGGAAAAGAAAGTCCAAGGATCGTTATTCCATCTTCAGCAATGGAAGAGGCCCCCACACCAGCAACATCAGCAACAACAGAGATGAAAATCTTATTAACGGCATGGGGCTGGGATGGAGTTGGGTTGTGGCTCGTGTGAGCAGCAGCAGCTACACAGCAGCCATGTAGTCTCATATGTGTTTACCTAGAGCTGCAGCGTGGACGCACCGTCTGGCCGCCGTGTCGTAGCTGTGACCTGCCTGGTCACATTCACACATGAAGGACCCCTCCACGTTCTCACAACGAGCTGAGCCACACACACCCGGCAGAGACACACACTCATTCACATCTGAAAGACACATACACAAACGCATTTCATTTCATTCACATAAACCTTGTTTAGATTGTTTTGTAGATTAACCCATTAAAAAAAACAATAATCTCAGGCACACGTCCAAATTTTGGGAAATAACACAAAACAAGAAAGTTAACAGCAAAAACAAACAATAATGAAACTCAGTTAAAAGAATTCAAATGCCCGATAAAATGCTTGTCTTTGCGGGGCTGCTGTGACTCCGTGCCTGGGATCACCGTAATGACCCTAATATCATTGAAAAGTGCAGCGTCGCTGCTTTCAGGAACCGTTGGAATTCTTTCAATTGAGCAAATGGTTCAGGAGTTACAGATGTTGAAAACACCCATCTGAATCTAGCGACAGGTTAGGCTTTAGAGGGTCAAACATGTGATGCTGAAAAAAACATTTGTAGGATCCAAAGTCTTAAAATGTCTTTTTGGTTTTTTTTAGACCCAAGAACCCAAAAGCCTTGAATCCTCACACTTGTGCTCTAACACGTACCCACACAGGTCTTTCCATCGGCGGAGGAGGTGAAGCCTTGGTCACAAATGCAGCGGTAAGTTCCAAACAGATTCTGACAGTAGGCGTTGGCGCCGCACACTGTCGTGTTGCCACATTCATTAATATCTGATTGAAAGAAGAAACGAGAAGGAAGTCAAGTCCATCCGTTCATCCATTTTCTACGGCTCGTCTGGCCTAAGCAGACATGAGGCCTCCCTCGTTTGTTCTAAGTGGATGCTGAAGCGTCGGTAACATGTGCTCAGACTCACCTTCACAGATCCCAGCGTGGTTCACCTGGTAGCCTGGCTCACAGTTAGTGAGGCAGCTGTAGGAACCAATGGTGTTCTCACATCGCTGTGACCCGCAAATGGAACCACCGGACAAGACGCATTCATCAACATCTGAAAGAGACAGACAGACAGAGGTCGTTAGACGTCAAGGTTCACAGCTTTGGATTGGCCTTAAACATCAGTAATATAAACTTTGATTCACATGAGGCCAACACTTCCTATGGAGCACCTCAGGGTTCAGTACTGGGTCCAGTTAATATATATGAGCAAGTATGTGCAGCACGTTGTACGTTTATAAGATATTTTATTTTGCTGGTCAGATTACAGAGACTGTATGGAGAAGAGCTTTGAACCACTACATGATGCACCTCATGAAGGCTTTGAATACATCGGTCCTATTTTAATTTCTTTCTTTGGCTGACAGGAAGTCAAAATACTTATTTTAATATTCTTCTTCTATTTGTCACGATTCATTTATCAGTTTATCTGTTCGTCTATTTTTTGGATGGTACTGGCAGCCACGAGGAGATGGACACAGGCTGCAGGGTCATGACCTAATTAACAGGTCAGGCCTACTTAAACTGGGCTGAAGGTGTCACACTTGTGTGTGTGTGTGCGCATACCAAGGCAGGCAGTCCCCTCGGGGTTGGTGGTGAAGCCGATTTGACAGTCACACTGGAACGAGCCTTCGGTGTTCACACAGCGACCGTCCGAACACACCCCCGCCTTAACACACTCGTCCACGTCTGCACAAAGACACGAGAAGACAAAACTGAAGAGCCACAAACAGGCAGCAGCCGAAGGCCTGCAGAGCATCTCACGCAGCATGCAGTGATGTCTGCGGGCTCTGCAGGCCATCGCTGACTGCACAGGTGTAAAAGATTTTTGGACCTGACTGTAATATATCCGACACAACAGCTCCGACATCAGTCCTGCTTTCCTGCGACGGTCATGAGGCTGCTGTGGTATTAAATGAAATACTTAAACATCTGAATACGGACATGCGCACAAACCCAAAGAAGCGTCCTGATAAACGTTCCCCGTTTGATCGGCGGGACTCACCGAGGCAGGCCGTCCGGTTCTCACTCAGCGTGAATCCCTGCGAGCACACACACGTGTAGGATCCAGGCGTGTTCACACACTCTCCTCTGGAGAAACAGAAATCTCCCTCCAAACACTCGTTAATGTCTGAGGACACACACACACACACACATTAAAATGATCTGTTTAACGCACCGTTCTGTACGAGGGCGCCTCATCACCACCCACATCTGGTAAAGTTATATTTAACTAGCAGAGAGCGACCTCACCTCTGCACTGCCTTCCCAGGCTGGAGGTTCGATACCCGGGCGCACAGTCGCACCTGAACGAGCCGACGGTGTTCACACAGACCCGCTCTGCCTCACACACCCTGCCGCTCGCACACTCGTCTATGTCTGCAGCACAGAGAGTGACATCATCATTGATCACACCCACTGTCGCCAAAGTGCTGCTCACAGGGGGTCATGTGATTGTTGGGTTTTTCTCTGTATGTATTATTGTAGGATCTTCTGTACAATATAAAGCACCTTGAGGCGACTGTTGTTGTGATTTGGCGCTGTGTAAATAAAACTGGATTGAATTGAATTGAATTGAAAATTGATCGGCCTTTCCTAACTGGTTTGCTCAGAGGCTCCGCCTTCTTCCACTGCAAGCTGAGGATGGACGGATGATGAAACGGTGATGAGTCTAAACATAATGTTGATTTCTAAACAGGCTCAGCTCCTGTGTGTGTGTGTGTG